TAGAATTAGAGGCCTCATGTGAAGCCTGTGGAAGGAGGTAAGAAGGCTACAATTAACTTTGTTGGGGTTTTGATCTAAAGGCTTACACAGGGGCTTTTAATGCAGAGTCATTGGTGCTTTCATTCTCATTAACTGGATCCATTTCAGAATGCTGACCTGATTCCTTCGCAAATCACAACCTTTGCAGTGACCACACTAAGCCTTTTGAATGCGGAAGTCTTCTAGTGACCACTGACTCCTGTTTTTCATAGAACAATTTATCCCGTAATTCACTGAGAAAGAATCAAAGCAGCTTACCTTATTAAAACCTTAAGATCTCCAAAGACGGCACAGACTGCAACAACAATAAGGATGCAGCATCCTGTGTATGGCTTTACAAAGCACGTTTCAGCTGGTCCGGTCTGAATGTTATCTCGCCCTGGCGCTATGCACTCATTGGCATGCTCCTGCAGCAATGCTTAGTGTGATGGCCAGTCTTACGTAAACTTGGCATTAGGAACAAGAAGAAGAATGCTGGGACAAGAAGTGCAGAATTCAGACTCTGCGGCTACCTTCCCGTAAAAAATTGTGGCAGTACATGAATGATGCTATATTTCAGGCTCCTAAATAGCCCTGTTGGCAGTGTGGTATAATGTATGTTTTTATGTTGGCACCATTTAGTGTCTCTTAGCAAGCGTCCAAGGAGCTGTAGCTGATTGTTTTCATTCACCACACCAATTTACTCAGCACCAATATTATCTCATAACTTGGCCTTGTTTTTTGGTGGTTTCAGCTCAGTGACAACATTATTACATTACTCAGAATGTGCAGATGGAAAAGATGCACTGAGATGGTGACTGTCTGAATGAGGACAATTTGTTTCGCATTTGTCATTGGCTTTTTATAACCCTGGATCAAGAAAATGCTTCATGAGAGGTTAAAATGGTGCAGATACTCATGTCAAGATGGGCAAAGCTTCCCAGGAGAGACTGAATATAGCACTGCTATACCATGTTGGAATTCATAATGTGCTGAGCAATTTTTTATTGCGGTTGCCAGTTGATCATTTTGGGAAATCACAGTGATGAAGAATTCTCTTTATTTGATTTGAAAATTCTTATTTGCTGTTTTTGAAAAAAACAACCAAACCAAACCAAACCAAAAAAACACCAGCCACTGTGTTCTGCTTGAAAAGATTTGTCCTTCGGAAAAATTTTTACTTCTCCCCCACCGAAGATGGGAGAAGAATGTTTTTAAATGTCAGTGAAAATACTGCATACAGAGACAAACCTTTTTTTTTCAAATCACTTCAAAATTGACTAAAAAGAGAGGAAAGTCTACCTGTGATGCTTTTAACACCTGAACTTTTTTGTGTTTAAAGGGACTGATCTTTAATTAGGTACCTATCTCCTGTCTGCTACTACTGCAAGCACAATATAGCTGCCTGGGGAAAGCCCTCTTCGCTGGCTCCCAGGAACAGAGGGCAAAGCAACAGGCCATCAAGTGCCGAGTCCTCATTGACTGATAAATTAACACTGATAAATGCGCATGTTAAGCAGATAAATCATATTAAATTGGGTTCCAGGAACAAGAAAACCTGATTCAAATCAGTGGAAGAAGTTTCTGAAAGAGTATGTTTTCTGTAGTTTACTGGACATGATTAATTCAAGCAGAATCTATGCACCAGGTCTAACATGGTTCTGATACGCAGTAATGGTGTAATCTTTCAAGACTATAGTTACGCTTCCTCATCATGCTGTGAAGTTTCTAAATCATCCTTCCACAGTGGAAATTATAGTTTCCTTTTTTTCATGCTGACATTGCTATTCCTATGGTCAATCTAGGATATGAAATCAGCAGCATGAGGATTAGAAGATTGACTCAGCATACTTTGTGAAACAAGCTGCTCTGTTTTATTGCCTCCTTCGTTGCATTTGGTGTATAGGGGAGATTTCTTCAGCTGCTCACAAAACGCAAGCCAACAGAGGCCTTATTTTGTATCCTGGAAACACCATGGCATTTCAGGGCCTTAGGACAAAAGAGCATAACAACAGCTACGTCACGTCTCATTACAGGTTCATCTAGAACAGTGTCTTGACACTTATAGTGACCAATAAAGAATGCTTGCGAAAGAATAGGGAAAACATATAAAGACACTTTACACTATTACTTTTCCTCTATATTCTTCCAGATACCAGGAATTTGAAGTTGAGGAACTTCAAATTGAGCCAAAGACAGCATCTTTCTGATAAATAGGCCTACAGGATTTTCCCTCATTAATTTTTCTACTCACTGCCTGAACCCCTGGAAGCATTTAATATCCACAAATAGGAATAGCAAAGAATCCCACAGCTTAAGTATTTGTTGTAAGAAGAACACAGTCCTTTAGTTTCTG